TTATAAAATGTGCAGCAATCATGTCCAATAAGAATCAAGATCACACGAGGTACTAATACTGCCCTATAAAGCCACATCTAGAATACTGCATCCAGTTTTGGTCACCACACAATAAAAAATATGTTGAGATTCTAGAAAGAGTGCAGAGAAGAGCAATAAAGATGTTTAGGGCCCTGCAGGCTAAAACATACGAAGAACAGTTACAGGAACTGGGCATGGCTAGTCTAGCGAAGAGACGGACCAGGGGTGACATGATAGCAGTGTTCTAATATTTGAGGAGCTGTCACAGAGAGGAGGGGGGTCAACCTATTTTCCAAAGCAGCCAAAGGCCAGATCAGGAACAATGGATGAAAACGTATCAAGGAGAGAAGCAACCTAGAACTAAGAAGACATTTCCTGACAGTTAGAACAATTAATCAGTGGAACGACTCGCCTCCAGAAGTTGTGAATTCTCCAACACTAGAAGTTTTAAAGAAGAGATTGGACAACCATTTGTTTGAAATGGTATAGGGTTTCCTGCCAGAGCAGGGGGTTGGACTGGATGACCTCCAAGACCCCTTCCAACTCTGTTATTCTATTCTATTCTATTCTATTCTATTCTATTCTATTCTATTCTATTCTATTCTAGGTAAGTGCAAGGACCAGACATAAGTAACTTTTTTCAGGACTGTTATAACTTTGAATGGTCACTAAATGAATGATTACAATTCAAGGGCTATCTGTACCCAGATTTAAACTCTGGACTTGGATAATTAACTTTATCTAGTACCCTTTTGCAAGTTTGCTCTGAGATTCCCTGTTCCTCATCTGTTATCTAGGGATGGCTGTCACATCGAACCAAGAGGGACAAGGGTAGAAATGATGACCTCATCACACAACACCATGCCTTATGAGCTTGTGTCAGGCTTGGGATGCACCAAGGTAGTTCCAACATTTATGTGATAAAGTAATGTAAAGTAAAGTTTCTTTACGGACCCTGTTGTTTATGGACCCTGTTGTTCCAACCATATAATAATAATAATAATAATAATAATAATAATAATAATAATAATAATAATAATAATAATAATAATAATAATAATAATAATAATAATAATAATAATAAAGTTGGAAGAGACCTTGGAGGTCATCAAGTCCAACCCCCTGCTCAGGCAGGTAAACCTATACAATTTTGGACAAATGGCTGTCCGGTCTCTTCTTAAAAACTTCCAGTGTTGGAGCATTCACCGCTTCTGGAGGCAGGTTGTTCCACTGGCTAATTGTTCTCACTGTCAGGAAGTTTCTTAAACTTCCTTTAACTTTCTTCCAATCTGATCATTAGAACTTATAACACAACTTTACATATTGTGTCTAATCTGCTTTTTTCCCCTCCTTCCTTTCCTGCCTTGTCTTTTGGATTGTAAGACTAAAAGAGTCCAAGGCCTTCTGTCACTAGTGATTTATAGCAGCTTGCACCCGCAGCTCTTGATTGTGGCTTTGTCAACCCTGTCATTGTTATTGTTATTTTTGAGGCAGGGTCTGGCAAAAGGTTGCATGTCTTTAGGGAGGAAATGATTTTGGACTCACTTGACAGATTATCTCTAAGGGAATGTAGCTCAAAACAAGGGCACACATTTTCTACACCCATCTGTAACATTGGGATTCTTTTTGACACAAACCAGAAGACCGAAAAGAACAATACTCCACATTGTTTTAACACGTCCCCATCCTGGGACTGCGTAAGGCATCTGTTGTGCGCAGGAATACAAAATCTTTTTGTCCTATACAGTTAAGAACCAAGGTATGCTTTAATACAAGGAGTTGTGTTTCCACAGTCATTTTAACACAAGCGTGTGATTTACATAAAAGTTTGCATGAATCATCCCGCATCGCCCTTTGCTGACTGAAGGAGGAAGAAGGGGTTTTGATCAAGTAAAAAGTGAAAAGATTGTGAGGGAAATTCCTCATTTCTCTTCTGTCTCTGTCTGAGGAATGACTCAAAATACCCTGTTAATTCCAGACCCAGATGTTTCCTTACTAGGGACCAAATGGGGCAAAACAACCATCTGTGAAATTTCCAATGGTGTTGACTGCGTTTACAAAATAAACACCTTTGGAAAGCTCTAGTCTAGGAAGCAGGAGTGTGGAGGAAGTGGGTTTTCTAACCAGCAGATAGAATTTCTGGATAGTGGTGGCCTTGGTAAACTCAGCCCGATCCCACATAATCTTCCAGAGACTACAAAAACATGTAGAAAAAATTCAGTAATTGAGCCCAAAGGAGAGAATATTTTTTAAGACTGAAGAAAGAAAAAATCAGGTATGTCAAAAACCACAACCTGTTGACTCTTGGAAACAAAGGAGCATTAAAAAAAAGCCAAACTGATCAAATGAAAAGAACATCTCTGTTCTCATGATGGCCAATCCATGTAGGACAGCGGTTCTCAACCTATGGGTCGCGATCCCATTTGGGGTCGATCGACCATTTCACGGGGGTCGCCAAGCAAGGCTGTCCACCATTTTTTTTGTCCGCCATTTTTTCCCCCCTTTTCCGGCGGGTGCCTTACCTCCCTTGGGCTGGGCCAGCTGGTGGTCGGCCTGCTCCGTCTCTGCCGCTTGCCAGCTACGCCTCGGCCGGCGCAGGGGGCAGAACCACGCATGTGCGGTGCTCCTGGGCAGGGAAAGTCCTCGACTTACGACCGGTTGGGTAGTCCTCGACTTACGACCGGTTTAGTCCTCGACTTACGGCCGGTTTAGTCCTTGACTTACGACCGGTTTAGTCCTCGACTTATGACCGGTTGGGGGTCGTGGCATTAAAAAGGTTGAGAACCACTGATGTAGGAAGACTGTAGAAACCATCGTTTTAATGAAAGCAAACAGATACAGAACTAGGAAGTAGAAGCAATGAGAAGTTCTCCAAATAAGAAATTACAACTGGATCTGTGGAGAGAGAGAGAGAGAGAGAGAGAGAGAGAGAGAGAGAGAGAGAGAGAGAGAGAGAGAGAGAGTCATAAGCATTGAAAAGATATGTCTCGTTTCTTATCATCTGAGACCATAGCATATGACATAATGGACTTACAGGAAGGCAAATTCTGATTGTTAGAAAATGTTCCTATGGACACGAGCACTTCAACAATAGAACGAGTGACCGAATGAGATAGAATGATCCTCTGTCTTGATGTGTTCAAGCAACAGAGGCTGGACAGCAATGTGTTGGGAATGTTTGGGTCTCTATTCCCACCCCATTAATGGCCAGAAAGCCGAGATCCATTCTCGATTTGTGATTCACCAACGTTGTCCTTACGAGGGTTGGTGCAGTTCATTTGCCCTCATTGACCCAGAAGATCTATTTTGTGATGATGAATCATGATGCCTACGATTTGTGCATGGCCTCTCCCTCCATACTTAATTGTGGGTTAGCTTGTTTTGCCACCTTTCTGCGACTGAAAACACATTTAATCATGAGCGTCATGTTATTTTAATATAAAAGTAGATGATTAGTTTTGATACAATTAAAAAGTACAATTTGTTCATCTTTCAAAGAACAAGGGGCATGGAACAAACCGACCTTCACAGACACAACCCAACATTTTTGCCTGCTCTTCATTTTACAGAATGATTAAGCCCCATAATACCAAAACTGTTGAAAATGATTTTTATCTAGCCCTGGTGCTCATCTATCAGAAGGGAGTAACTCAAATATGAGATATCAACTGGCAGATAGACAGAACATCCACATTTTAGAAACAGACGGTGTCTAATTGGATATCTCAATATCAGATGCAGAAAGAAAACTCAAAAGGCTAACCTCCTTGCGGACTTGAAGGAGACTTTCTTCCACGAATCCCCCTGCTCCTTTCATCCCTTTCCATTCTACTTGACCAAAAGGTTCTTCATCAACTGTGGTTGGTGTCTAGAAAGGCTTCAAGATTGTGACTTGATTATATTCAGAGAAAGTATGAAATGAATAATTATCGTATAGCTTTTGATTAAACCTTTTTTCTTTTTGTATTATTTCTATATACTTAATATAATTTATATACATATTTTATATTTAAGTTTATTATTGTATATTAGAGTTAAAGTATGTTAATATTTGTTTGTATTATGTTTGGGTAGTTTTATTTAGATTTGGGATGCTATGTGATTATCCCTGTACTCAGTTCTGGGAAGTCCGGGGGGGAGGGGGGAAGGGGATGAAGGGGTAGAATTATATAAAATTTGGTGTATTTATATATTATAGAAAAATAATGTAATGGTTTTTCCTTTTTTGAGAAGAGGAGATGATCGGCTAGTAGCCCTAAACTGCATCCGAAGGAGGTGGAAAAGAAGGTGATGGGATGTGTAGGATAGTTGGAAAGGAGGAAGGAGGAGAGAGGTGTGGGGAGGAGGGGAGGAAGGAAGAGGGACGTAGGTAGGAAGGTTGAAGGAGTGAGGGTGGGTGCAGGGGGGGTGGGACCGCCGATCATTTCTGAAAATATATTGACTAGGTTTTCCTTTTTGTTTTTTTAATGAAATGCACCACATTTGTATTATTTGTTTATACGTTTATTTGAAAATCAATAAAATTTGCAAAATGAAAGATTGTGACTTGCTTAACACAATGCCAACATTTCATCAGACAAGCCCATCTGCAGATCTGCAAAAGCTCCTCTGCAAATAAGAGAATTCCTAACCTGTTCCAAAAAAAAAAAAGAGTTTGTTATCTTAAGATACTTCTAGAGTTGGACACCTGCAGAGAACAAGAGGTTAAATTTTCCTTAGCTGCTTTTCCATTTCCCCTCTCTCATCCTGTTCCTCCCCACCCTGCTGTCCACTCATAACCTCCAGCACACTGAGAGTGTATGACCATGTTTCTCTATCTAGGGGCAGGTCAGAAAACCCACTGGTGTTTCCCAGCACCTGAGGATGGAGTTTGCTGAATAGGTCAGGCTGTTGTCCTCCTCCTTCTCCTGGATTTCTTTCTGAATTGCAGACCTGTGGCAGATGGTGGTACACCATGTGGAGGCTGCTGTCACTCGGACTTATGTTCTTGTGCTGCGTCTTTCAGGAAAGCATGGGCATCACCAGGCGATATTTCATTGGAGCAGTGGAGAAAGAATGGAACTATAGGCCCGACAGACAGAACGGGTAATAATACAGCAACTATATATTGTCTTACCAAGGGTTTGGGGATTTGCTTTCAGTAGAGGATAGAGCTGGGAAGTAGGGGGCCTCCAAATTTTGGGAACACCAACTATCATCTCCACTAACCGACTCTTCCTGGTTAAAAGACCGTGGTCCCAGCTGTCTTAAGGATTGTATAGAAAGGATGTGATTTTCGGATATGGTGTTACCAACAGCATTATAGTTTTGTACATTTCTGTCCTTAATTTGTACCACTTGGCCCCTCCTGTTCAGTTTCTGCTTCTAATCTCCTTAGCCCTGCTTGACTCCTCTCTGCTGGATGTGCCAGGAGTGAAGGGAAAGAAAACATTTATTTAATGAAGTGTTGACAGGCTGGTAGGCATTGTGCTAAGCAAGTCACCATCTTTCTAGACACCAACCACAGTTGACGAAGAACCATCTGGTCAAGTAGAATGGAAAGGGATGAAAGGAGCAGAGGGACTTATGGAAGAAGGTCTCCTTCAAGTGGGTGTTATTCAGGTTTACTTTTAGAAAAGGGAGGATAGTACAACAATAGGTAGACTTTTTGGGTGTAGGAGGTCCTGGGTTCCATCCGTGACATTTCCAATTAAAATTGCTCAGCAGTGTTGGGGGAAAAGCCAACTGAAGACACAAAAGAGCTGCTAATACCATTAGTTTATATGATGCCCTCCAGATGTTCCAATGGGAGTAATAGTCCTAATAAGCATCTGGATGGAGAAGAAGAAAACGTGGTGATCAAGATGGACCAGTAACTTGTACTACTTTATGGGACTTTCTTAGTCTCCCATTCATAATGTTGTGGTCAAGAAGAAGAACAGGGTTTGATCTGGATTTAAGTTAATTAGCTCTCCCTTTTATCTTTACAACAATATTGTGAGGCTGTTTGTATGAATTGTTTAGAATCAGCCAATACATTTTGCAGTTGAAGAAGGATTTAAACTCAGGTCTCAATAGAAGAGAATATTTGTAGCTCTGGGTTAAACTGTGGAGTCCTTGATGCTCTCTGGATTTGGTTATTTGTTTGCAGATGTTTCATTGACCAACTAGGTAAGAGCTAGTTAGTTAGTTAGTTAAGGTAATTAATACCTTAAGAATCACTGTCCTAAAAATATCAACAAGTCCTCCAGTTTTGTTATACTGCACATATTTTTATTTTTGCTTACAGTAATGTTCCAAAGGTGAAGTACAGCAATAATATTTTTAAGAAGGTACACAAAATAAAAATGCCAAAATTCACTTGATTAAAGATATTTAAGGAAACATAGCTTTCCATCCATCATCTACATATCATGAGGTTTTCTGGGGCCAATCATAAATAGTGTTAGAATGAATGGCTTTTTGAACAGTGTACCGTGCTGTAGGTTTTCTGTGGAGCAGAGAATATGCTTGTACAAATAAATTAGGATTTGTAATTTGTCAGGGAGAAAAATTTCACTCAGTCAAGAGCTGGAGTGTAGCTGTGTCTACGCTAAATCCAGGACATTGATTTAGGGACCACGACAGAAAATTTTGATGTGGGATTTAAAGATTCCAAATACATGTAAAGAAATTACTAATTTATTCTCTCTCTCTCTCTCTCCCTCTCCCTCTCTCTCTCTCTCTCTCTCTCTCTCTCTCTCCCTCCCTCCCTCCCTCCCTCTCTCTCTCTCTCTCATTCTTTCAAGCTTATAAATGCAAAGAAGGTAGCTAGAAAATGGAGTAAATAATAATAATAATAATAATAATAATAATAATAATAATAATAATAATAGTAAAGTTGGAAGGGAACTTGAAGGTCATCTAGTCCAACCCCCTGCTCAGGCAGGAAACCCTATACCATTTCGGACAAATGGCTGTCCAGTCTCTTCTTAAAAACTTCCAGTGTTGGAGCATTCACCGCTTCTGGAGGCAGGTTGTTCCACTGGTTAATTGNCTCTCTCTCTCTCTCTCATTCTTTCAAGCTTAAAAATGCAAAGAAGGCAGCTAGAAAAATGGAGTAATTAAATAAAATGAGTAATTAAATTAAAGAGAACTAAGGGTTAGCTGTTCTTTGAGAAGAGGGGTGAGAAATCAACCTATAAAATGCTATAAAATACTGGAAGTTTTTAAGAAGAGACTGGACAGCCATTTGTCTGAAGTGGTATAGGGTTTCCTGCCTGAGCAGGGGGTTGGATTAGATGACCTCCAAGGTCCCTTCCAACTATTATTATTATTGTTGTTGTTGTTGTTGTTGTTGTTGTTGTTATTATTATTATTATTATTATTATTATTATTATTATCTTTTATTCATTAAACATGAACCTCAGTCAACTGAACATTCAAATTGGCTGGCACTGATGGTTGACACGGGTTGCTACCAGGTGTCAACCAGGTACCTCCTTAAAATGTAAGAGTTTCCGAGTAGCGCAGTTTTTTGTAACATTGCTGGAGTTATTGCAGGAAGCTGCAGTAATGTTACAATAATAGTAGTGGTAGTAGTAGTAGTAGTAGTAGTAGTAGTAGTAGTAAGTAGTGGTAGTTATTATTATAAAAGGATAATAGCTTTGGACCAACTGAAATACTACCCAAACATTGAAGAAGTATTATTTATTATATTGAATCCAGGTAGTCCTCAACATAACAGTTCTTTTAGTGACCGTTCAAAGTTACAACAGCATTGAAAAAAGTGACTTATGACTGTTTTTCACACTTACAACCATTGCAGCAGCCCCAGGGTCACCTGATCAAAATTCAGACACTTGGCAACTGGCTCGTATTTATGACGGTTGCAGCATCCCGGGGTCACGTGATCCCCTTTTGCGATCTTCTGATGAGCAAAGTCAATGGGGGAAGCCAGATTCACTTCACAACCGTGTCACTAACTTAATAACTGCAGCAATTCACTTCACAACTGTGGCCAGAAAGGTCATAAAATGGGGGCAAAACTCACTTAAGAATTGTCTCACTTAGCAGAAATGTTGGGCTCCGTTGCGGTCATCCCTGCACAACAACATCAATGCCTTCTGCAGCACGGTGGAAAAGAGATAGCATGATGTAGCTGCAGAAAAAGAGAAAGTACCATTTAAGAAAGCAGATAATTTTATGGCATCACTGCAAACCATGGTCCTCTTTTCCCAAGAAACATTGCAAGACTTTTCTCCACCAGATTGTCCCCAAACTGCCAAGGGCTTTCTCCTCCAGGGCTCAGTTCTTCTTCTCCCCAAAGGTCACCCTGTTCCATTTCCTAGCCAGCGAAGACCCAATTGTGATGGAGAGCTGGAGCACAATGGCATGTAATGTTATTTCTGGCCTCGGACACGGAATTTTGCAGACCGACGACACCAAGTCCTGCCAAATGTTCCAATCCCCCCCCTCCAAATGTTCTCTCTTTGCCATTTGGCTTTTTCTAAGATGACTACTTTTTTTTTAACTTTGAAAAGTCTTAAATGGGACTTTGAGATCTGTCCTCCTTCATCCTTGTTCTTTTGACTCTGGTCTACGTTTCTCGTGATGCTCTTGTGGTGCTGCTCAAATTAAACGTGGCCTTGTTCCTAAATGCTCAAACAAGGAGATCCTTTTGTTTCATGCAGGACTACATCTTCTGGGGTGGGGAGGAAGGCAGGCAGTAGAGTTTACTTCTAAGATACCTGGACTGATTTTTTTCCCCCTCCCCATTCAATTGGGTTAAATAGCCAACATTCCAGAAGACAGGCTTAAGATACAGAAGGATTTGGACAGACTTGAACACTGGGCACTATCTAACAAAATGAAATTCAATGGTGAAAAAAGCAAGGATCTACATTTAGGCAAGAAAAACCAAATGCACAAGTACAGCATAGGTGGCACCTTGCTCAATAGTAGTAACTGTGAGAGGGACCTCAGATTCCTAGTAGACAATCACCTAAATATGAGCCAGCCGTGTGCGGCAGCTGCCAAAAAGGCCAACACAGTGCTAGGCTGCATTAACAGAGGGATAGAATCAAGATCACATGAAGAGTTAATACCACTTTACAATGCCTTGGTAAGGCCACACTTGGAATACTGCATCCAGTTTTGGTCACCGTGATGTAAAAAAGATGTTGAGACTCTAGAAAGAGTACAGAGAAGAGCAACAAAGATGATTAGGGGACTGGAGGCTAAAGCATATAAGGAACGGCTGCTGGAATTGGGTATGTCTAGTTTAATGAAGAGAAGG